CCGTGGGTGATGGCCCCTGCCGACAGTTCGTATATGAGTGACGGCCCCTGCTGACAGGTCATCCGTAAGTGATGGCCCCTGCTGACAGTTCATATATAAGTGATGGCCCCTGCTGACAGTTCATAGATGAGTGATGGCCCCTGCTGAATTTCATATATGAGTGATGGCCCTTGCTGACAGGTCATCCATGAGTGATGGCCCTTGCTGACAGGTCATCCGTAAGTGATGGCCCTTGCTGACAGGTCATATATGAGTGACGGCCCTTGCTGACAGGTCATATATGAGTGACGGCCCTTGCTGACAGGTCATCCGTGAGTGATGGCCCTTGCTGACAGGTCATCCATGAGTGATGGCCCCTGCTGACAGGTCATATATGAGTGATGGCCCTTGCTGACAGTTCATATATGAGTGAAAGCCCCTGCTGACAGTTCATATATGAGTGATGGCCCCTGCTGACAGGTCATCCATGAGTGATGACCCCAGCTGACAGGTCATCCATGAGTGATAGCTTGGGATGACCGGATCGAAGGTTGTGACTCACGTACAGTAACACGTTAAGGTGACCGAAGTCGACCTCGTAAGCCATGTACATGATACAGTACACCGTGCAGTACAGAATGGGCCGTTACTCAGCGTATGTACCGCATCGTGCTTTGGATCGCCAGGGGTCGTATAAACGCCGAAGATGGCACGGCCGCTGAAGCTGGCAGGGAATTTTTGCCTCCGCCTGCTCCTAACGTTTGCGTCTCATGCTCGTCTTGAGCAGAGAGCGATTAAGTGAAGTACATGTAAGTCGATTTTTGGCAAAGCGGTGGTGTTGGCAGCCAGACGGATGGCAGAAAGGCAATAGCTGTTTGTTTCCGTATTTGCCGGCCTGTTAGTCCGAACTTGTGCTCATTATACGATTAATCGGATGCACCAAAAGTATGTTTTTCTGTAGCCCGACGAGAAGAAGGTTGCATTGCATGTGCTCCGTCCAGACTTGTCATCCGCGCCTGATGTTTCTGCGAAGTTTTGACTGTAACATCTCAGCCATAGGAAGCTAGTATCCTATATTGGTGTCAGCATCGGCATTATTACAGACCGAAATGTAAGGACACTGTGAGGGCAAGTTACGGCACAGCAACGGCCGCATTTTGGTGTCACCTTCAGTGCGGGTAAGAACAAATTCACGTCGCTGTTGGAAGGCTGACAGCTAAACTAAGGTTTAAAAATTAGCTGTTTTGAATTAGGGTTTTCCTGGCTTAAAAATGTATTTTCAAAATGTGTTTTGAACGCCCAGTGCCCGTAACAGCAGACAGGGCCATGATCTCATTCCTTGTTGGATCACTGGGTGTTAAATGTGAATCAGTCGTTTCGCCATGCCAGTGTTGCTCGTCCCGTTGTGTACACAAGTTATTCCGTGACCAGCGGTGCGGACTGCATGCATGAATGACGATCCGAAGGTGAGTTATCGCGGCTCGCATCCTATTCCTGTGATTCGTGACAGGAACATTGGATCTCCGATCGGCAGCCGCAGCCAGGGGCGTAGTTTCCCATTCAGTTGAGGGGCTCCCTTCCCTACCCTTCCTACCTGGCTCCAGGCCCCCTGCCCGGTTTTTAGAACAAAGTGGGCCAACTCCGCGCGGAAAGCACGTTTTTGGTGTGTCTTGGGATGCGTTTTGCCATTTTTTACTCCTCAGCCCCCTCCCCCTAAGTCATTTTGCGAAATTACGCTCCTGGCCGCAGCAACGGTACGCCTGTTCTGTCCGGCTGCTGGGCATCGAGAAGAGACTAGACTGAAACACTGTCTCCTTCCACTGTCAGGTGGATGAGCCTCTTAGGACTCGCATAATCCTTCAATTAAAGGGTAGTGTATTTGCTGAACGATGCGCCTGTCGTGCTTCCAACTCCTCGCTGGAGATTCTCGTGGCGCCTCCGAGACCACTGCCGTCGTATGGGGCGGCGAGACCGTCGGCTGCTCGTGTAGAAGCTGTACAGCCATGAGCACGCTCTTAGGTACCTGTATAACGATCTGCTGATCGTGCAGGCCAGTGCGCTCATCTCGTGGACGGAATTTATGCACTGGAGCCCTGTCGAAATGGCTTGTATCGGCTCCCGGTGTCTGGACGTTAAGTGCGGTCTGTATGGCTATATGTGACGGACAAATCAGCGCCCATCTTCGGAACTGCGCGGTTCATGAGCGAGCTGCCGGCGAAAAATAACTGGATGAGGTTATTAAACTGCAGAAATAGATTCAAGGGCATGGGTTGTGGAGCGAGCTGAAATGGCGGTGATGTAAGAACATGTGCCTATTATGTCGCCTCTAACGCCCGTAGCGCCTGCGAGCTTTATCGTCGGGCATGTTGTAGGTCAGCGTATCCGGCTTTTGCTACGTATTGTAAGCGTGCGCTTGATTGCTGTAAGATGCTGGGGCTCATAGTGTGGTGTTCAGACGAAGGAAATGGTTTAAATCACGCGAGACATAAGCCATTGCGCTACGTAAAAACGCGAGACGGGTTTGTGAATGTCAAAACGATTTTCATTAAAGATTAGAATATTGTTGCCGTCACTTATTAAAGTGTGGAACCGGGGTTGAAAGAGGAGTAGCGCGTCCACAATGTCAGAAATGGCGTGGCACAAAAGTTGGATACTCTTGAAAAGCTCAAGAGAACAGTGGAGCATTCTTCCTCTGGCCTTGCATGGCATGGATGAAAGCGCAGCTCAGATGTATTTGATGATATTCAAGTGGTCAAATTTGACTTTGAATTATAAGTTTTCGAATCATAGGCATTCTCCGGTGCAAGGGATCTGAATCAGCCTCTCTGCCTTTCCAGAAAAAAAACGATGGTGGAGAGTTGTGATGTTTTAAATAGCGCTCATGTCAGGATGTCGAGGTCCGGCTGATTGGGATAGTTTTCCTGTCTCTGCGGGGATCGTCGCTGTTTTCCTCCCCATTGTCTCCGATTAGGAGCAAAGTATGCCTTTTCCAGTCCAGCGTAACGGAACGATTTGGTGGGCGGCGCCGGTAGCGACCTCGACGAAAAGTCTGGAAGAGATATGTGAGAGTTAGCCAGAGCTCCGCGGTTTAGTCGGCAGGCGGGCGATCTGACAGTCTAGCCGAGTGGAGCCGCTCTGAGGTCAGACGGTTACACCTGTATTCGATCCGACGCTCTTCACCTCTAGCCCCCCCCCCCCTCCGCTTAGCAGAGGGGTCACACCTGTGACACCTGTAGTCGGTGCCGGCGCGCGGCCAGACGCCCCGCCACCACCGCCACGCCGTCGGTGACGTTACGAGCTCAGATAGCAGCCGCTAACGGATCACGGCCGCGTCACCGCTCGTGGGGCCGGGCCCGGCACGACCGCGGCCGGCGGCGGCCGAGTGATGCTCTGGTCGTGGCGCTGCCTATACACGGGAAGATGCGTGGAGGGGGGGGGGGAGGGGGCGGTGGCGGAAGCGGGCGCAGCGCAGCGCAGACGCACGCCGCGCACGACGTGACCCCGGCCGGGTCAGACGGCCCCTGCGTGTCCGCGCGCCGCCGGCACGCGGCGCCTACGCGCTCCGGCCGCGCTGAGAGGCCGGGCCGTGGCGGGGACGCGAATTACGCCAAGGTCAGAGCGGGCACCTGCCTCGCCGTCGATGCCGCCCCGATAGGACTTCCTGGCAGCGTCCTCAAGTGCCGTTCCATCCCGGACCTCCGCTCTGCCAACTGCATCCGGAGGGACGGGCCTCGATGACGGTCCCGGCCCGGCTAGCGGTGTATTACGAGCTCTCATCTTCGGGCTGGTGCGCGATGACGTAATGGTTCCGCCTTCGTCCCATCGTGATAAGCTTTTTATGGAGCGGGAGGGGAGCGCGGGGAGTCGGCCCAAGTCACTGGAGAGGACAGAGTGTGTGGGAAGTGCAACTTAGCGGCGCGCCTCGTTGCCGTAGGAACTCAGTGCCTCTCCGTAGCGGGTCCGGCCCTTCGCCTTCGGCTATGGACCAACCGGCCGTTGCGAACGGTGGGCTCTATTATGGGGCTAACGCAGGATCAGCTACGCTCGGAGCACATGCAGTGATCGGGATCCATAAGTACAGGGAGTAGGGCAGGTCTCATGGACCCCGATGACTTTTGCACTTAGGGGATTGAAGTACCACTGAGGCGGCAAGTTTCCAGTCCCTTCATTAAGCGCCTTGCGAAGTTCGGAGGATTTTGCCGAGTCGGTAGGAAGTTAAAGGTACCTAGAATCCCTATGCAGTGCAGCGCGTTTTGGTCCAAGTAACTTTCTTATCGCAACGGTTATAGGCGCTCGTCCTGCGCTTGTCCGGATTTGACCCCATATGTGAAAGCACCGGACTCGATCACAGGAATGTAATCGCAATGGCTGCTCACGCTGTTGTACTTTGAGGTGCTTGTAAGGGGCCATTTCATGAGCGGACTCCTGATCACATGGCGGGATCAGTGAGCGCACTTGGGGCCCGTCCTCCAATAACTCTCTCGCTTGATATCAGGGTCCAGCTCTTCACACGGTGCCAGCCGTTACAGTGTCATTTTTATTTGAAATGCAATCAATTTATTTCTCGATGATGTGGACGTATGCAAGCCCTCTGCTTTATCGGCGGGTAGCGAATCCCTCGGTCGCCATACGCTCTGGAACATTAACTCTGCCATTTTCCGCTCTTTGATTGGTGGGTGTTACTAACTTGCCGTTGCATGACGAATTTTACGTTCATGAATCATGAAGCGGTTGTTGTCCAACACCCACACCTGTCTTCAAGCTGCCAACTATGCACGGCCCCGTGTTCCGTTCGACCGTGTCCGCAGATATTATATAACGTTCCCCGCGTGAGCATGCTGATCCGTTTACCGGGTGTTGTTTTTCACCTGGCTTATCCGCTGTCAAGAGCAGATAATGTGGCGGCGAGTTGTCACGGTGCATGACGCCGGTACAGCGTGTTTGTCTTGGACGGACCTCATCGCCTGGATCGGGCGTTCCGTCGTGTTTGGGACCTGTACGCTGTCTTTGTGCCGTTGCAGGTCTGCCCGGATGAGATCCAGATTCTGGTGGCTGTGGTGCGGTACAGGAGCCGGCTTGCCAGCCCCCGCGTGGGGCTGTGCTCCACCTGGCTGTCCCGCCTGACGCCCGGTCAGCCGGTCACTCTGGCCGTCAAGCCGGGCACGCTGCGCTTCCCCCAGGAGGTCAGTGAGTGCGCCCCGCTCTGTTCGCTTCCACCGTCCGCTGTGCGACGGCCTCTCGCCGCGGCGGCCCCACGCGCGTTAAGTACGTTCCTTGTTTTTCTGCTACACTGGATGTCAGTGCGTAGCTTCAGTCCGAGCCCGCGCTAAGCAGAGGTCGCTGTCGGCGCTGAACCCCCTCCCGCCTGGCGCTGTCCCAGCTCAGCAGAAGGTCGCATGTGTCCGCCGAGCCGAGTCAGGCCGCGCCGGTGGGCTGTTCTCGCCGCGCGGTGTTAACACGCGGCCGGCGGGCCGGGCCGGTGGGCTGTTCTCGCCGCTCTCGCCGCGCGGTGTTAACACGCGGCCGGCGGGCCGGGCCGGTGGGCTGTTCTCGCCGCGCGGTGTTAACACGCGGCCGGCGGGCCGCGCCGGCGGGCTGTTCTCGCCGCTCTCGCCGCGCGGTGTTAACACGCGGCCGGCGGGCCGGGCCGGTGGGCTGTTCTCGCCGCGCGGTGTTAACACGCGGCCGGGTGGACCGGGCTGGTGCCGCTGGCCGAGCGCCAGCTGACCGTTACATAATGACACGACAAACGACTCGCTGTCGCTGTGTCTGAAGCCCGGCGCTGATAGACCCGAGCCACCAGTCTTGCCTCGCCGGCTGCCTGAGAGCCGCTGTTGCCTAGGCTACTTTTGCATTACAGACCGGCAGCATGGCCGGAGAAATACGTTGCAGAAGGGGACACACGAATGTTGTGTTCGTGGGCCGTGGGATGTATATCAGTACTTCGGCCCCACCTGTCACTGACGGTCAATAAGCAGGGTGATAGCGTTACCGGGGATGGGTTTTTAAATGCTCATTTACTTGGCGTCGTTGGTGCTTCTGGTTTCATCATTGTCTCTTCATATTTATTATTGGCTACTTAATTGGGTCAGATATGCACGAAGAGCGCCTCTGGCGGGTCGTTATGGACCCACCGGCCGTCAATAGAGATTTATGGCCTGCCGTGTGGTTCGTTACCGATATGGTCCTGCGCAGCGCCCCCAAAAAGGCTATCGCTGCTCAAATGATATACCGGCTGCACGTGGCTAATTGAATGACCATTGCAACATTACTGCGGTGCTTGTATGCATAAATTGCTTTCGTCTCCTAATGTTATCTACCGTGCCGAAAACGACGACTTCGTGACTCGTGAAACTTGCATGGGTGTGTGCGGGGAATTGAATGGCGTGTTCTGCTGCGCCGGCCGTGCTTTAGCCGGGCTTATCTGGCGGGGCATCCGCCGCCCCTACGAACGTATGGCCGTCTGTCCTGACGTCTCGCCCGTCCATGTGCTCCCTTCAGGGGGTTGTCCGTGAGGAAAACTGGGTTAGTGGTCATAGTCCACTTTTGCTGCGCGATTTCGTTCACATCACGTCCCCCCTCCCCCCCCCCGCCCGTTGTCAGCGGGGCGGATTTTGCGGATCTGATTGGCAGTCAGACCATGTCCCTCTGACCAAAAAGTTACCCCTTGTTCGGGCGTTGTTTATGCCTTACGATTTGCGTTATGCTGAACGAACTCCCGCGCCAACAGCTGCCTGCTCCACATCCGCCGTCCCATCCATCTCCCTGGCCCTCTGGCCGCTTCCACATGCTCCAGAAAGCGTCTCTCCAAGGCCTTACCTCGGGACGTACGCGCCAAGGACTTCTCCCGGTATCCGAGCCGACGACGAGATGGCGCCGGTCGGCGGCCGACTTTGGCTCGAGCCGGAGGTTGGCGGCGACGGCGTTCATCGTTCGCTCGGCGGACCGGCCGGCGCCGGCGACGGCGCGTAATTTAACGGTCGGCCAATCACTCGGTTGCCAGCGAGGTCATGGACTGCCATCGGAGGGGGCAGTAAGGGGAGGGGGAGCGGGGGTAGACGTCCGCCCACGCCTGGGGACGGCGCTGCGCCGCCGTCGGCGTTGGATACGAGATACGCGGCGGGACGGCCGGGCCCAGTGTCGGCGTGGTTGTCTCTGGGAGGGTGGCTCTCCGGAGGCCGGCGGCGGTGTGGAGTGCGGCTGACCCGGTCAGCGGAGCGCGGTGTCGCGCCGGCGGCGACTCGCAGCGAGAGTCGGCGGCTGCAGCTCTCCGGCCGCGGCAGCCCCGCGGCGGCGGCCGAGCGGTGCGCCAGGCACGCCCCACCCCCGCCCAACACCCCACACCCGCGCAGCTGAGAACAGCTCCCGGTCCCGGAGCCCCGGTGGCGGCGGCGCCCGACCCGGCCGCCGGACGGCGGTGCCTGGTGGCGTGGCCGTGCGGGGGACGACGCCTGCCCCGCCCGTGGGCGGAGCGGAGCCGGCGCCGCGTCTGTCGTCGGGCGCTGGCCGGCTCTCCTGAGCGTCTTCCCGTGCAGGCCGGTTTTCAAGGCCTGCCGGGTCGGCTCGGGAAACGAGACCACTTTTTAGCGGCGCCCGGATAAGACCGGTGTCGCAAGGCACGTCTGGACGACAGGCTGCCGCGCTGCAGGGCAAAACAAAGGCTTCTGGGAAAAGGCGATGGTGGTTAGGCTGCGTTTGGGAGATATGCGTGCCCTTTGTTCGATATGTCCTGGTGCAACGACTTGTGTGTGGAAGTCTGCTGTTTGCCGCGCTCTGGCCCTCGAAGCACGTTCACAACCGTGCGCGCTTGCCGACACCTGAAGCTGGGATAGCCCTCGAGCGACACGTTTCAAACCGACCAATCTCGGCCGCCGTAACAGCGCCAGCAACCATTCCGGCACTGACGAAAACCGACCGACCAAAGCGGCCGCGTTCGGCTGGTGGTGCGCGCCTCACGCCCGCCCCCTACCGCGGCGCCGATCACCTCTGACCCGCGCGCGCGTCACGTGCCTTCACCGTGGGTGCCGCCGGCCGGCCGGCCGGGCGACCCCGTCGCCGACGACGATCGACCGCGACCGCGCCGGTCTCCAGCCGTCGGCGAACGTTCCCGCATGACGGACGTGGAATGTGGCCCTCGCTCGCCGGTTTACTGCCGGCCGCTCCGCCTGCTAATTAGCTAATTAGGCTGGGGGTCGGTGTGGCCATACGCAGGATCCTTTACGGGGTGTCAGCCAGTGCGCCTCAGCGAGTGACGCACGCGACCGGTGGCGCCGGCGAACACCGGCGCGTGTTATGCTGCGTGTAGTGCGCTTTTGGTAACTAGGTGTTGCTTGTCGTTCCGCCGTTTTTTGCGCTCGCTTAATGATTTCTATTTTGGTCAGGCCGGTTTTTGCCATGCTGCCTACCGCTGATTACACTGCGAAACGAATTCGAGGAAGTCCGCGAATAGACTGCGAGTGCGTAGTGCAACTGAGATTGGTTCGGAAGCTCGGTGGTGAAGACTAGATGCTTCTCTACAGCGCTGGCGGAGGTGAAAGCCGTGGAATGGTCGCGGGCCCATTATTATTTTGATTTGATCCTGTCCAAACTTCGCCGATCAATTCCATTTTGAATCGAAGGAACGTCAAGGCTGGATGCCACCATGTCCTGCCACGTGGATCGTTCTGTCCCCAAGTCCTGCCATCAATCTTGCACCTGCATCTGCGTCATGTGACTGGCAATGCGGTCGGGGAGCTCACGGAGCTCTCCATGCTTATATCACGCTGTGAACCGTCATTGCGCAGTAGCTAGGAAGCACCTGACAGCACCTCGTCTGATCCCGGGCTGTAAGACCGAGTAATCGTCATCCTACATCATTGTGAAGCTCTCCGGCATGGGAACAACCCTCAGGGCGCGCTGAATTCATTCAAATTCGCAGCTTAGTTCCACAGTCCCCTTCGCTGACCTTGGCCGTCTTCGGCGCCAAAAAAAAATGGCGCGCCTGGTGCATCTGGCTGGCTGGTGGCTTGGCCGGACCTCACTGAAGTCCGTGTCGGTCGCCAGGACCGTTCCAATGTGATTACTTTAGGAAACCGGCTGAGCTCAGGCACTGAAAGAACTCGCTCGAAAGGCGAGCAATTTGTTCCCGTGAACACCGGATCATTTAGGGTGCAGTGAACATCTGCCCGGTTGGTGCTGCGCTGCACCGTTGTTTCTAGCAGGGAGCAAACATTATGGGGCTTTGAACTGAAATAGCTATTTTGAGGACATTGCCATCATGAAGGTCTTGATTGTGCAGTTCACAGCCCTGCCTTTCTTAAGACCTGAACCCTTCTAGTTTCCAGGCTACGCACCCGCGAAGATGTGCAGACTATTTCAAGGTCACCAAGGCATCCATGACGCCATAATAATTTCATTCGATCCTGTTATTACATTGGCCATGCAGCGATCAAGGCCAATAAAAATATACTTGTCGAGTCGTTCATATATGGCGTTCGTGAGCACGATTTTCAGATCTGACGGCCGTTAATTGGCTTGCAATCAATGTTGTGCAAGGTACGATGATGTAATCAAACAATGACAGATTGAGGAGCACACAGGAAAACTGTGTTGTCTAGAGCAGCCTTTTCCACTCACAAGCATATCAAGAGTTATAAGTGGGCTTATTCCATCATATCTGATGCTTGCTTTGATGTCTTAAAATGTGGAACATTCCCTTTAACGTTGACTTAACAATGATGCATTTATCGAAAGTAGGTGTTCACAATCGGCCTGGGCTTGAAGCGACACTGCGGTCCCAGGAATTCTGCGTCTTCTGCCACAATGCTTGTAATAGGAACGCTTCGTCTTCTTTCCCGGTGATGGCGTGGAATTCAGTTATCGACTAGAGTTGAACTGAACGACACAGCGGCGCTCCTTTTCGAAGGTCACAACCTGAAAGGAGAGAGGCCGAAGGTTTGCCCTTTCTTCCCACTTGATTACTGATCCCTTCTCTGACTCGCATTACCTTCGGCAGTTTTTTGTTCGGCGCGGCCATTTATTTAATTATCTCTGCCATCAACCGGAATCGTTGTAGCATTGGCAACACCATATGGTGTTGATGATGGGGCTGTAGCCCATCGGCATTTACACTCGGACGTCCTGGTGCCACCCGGGGTCCGGGTAGATGAAACATTTCCTGAGGACGGGCAAACGGCGCCGACAG